AGGAGATTGTGCTTGATCAAGGTGCACTGGACATATCGGAGATAAGCATACCAAAACTTTGGATCTCAAGATGTCCAATCAGAAGTTCCGTATGTCTCTGTACAATGCAAATAACCCCGCCTAAATTATATGATTAAAAAAAAAAAACGCCCATTATATAAAACGACGCTTTGAAAGCCATGAAAAATCAAGCCATTCTCTTCACTTTCAAACGCCGTGACCTCAGTTCAAACTTTTGTACTCCCCCAAAATGATACAGTTCTTTATGTGAAATTAGTCCTGATGATGTTATGATATCATTAGTCCCCCTCCTTCCCTTGTCACGGGCTTTCTGCTGGTGAAAAATTCATCCCGGTCACACACGGGTCACTACCGCTGGCATCTACTGAAATATGATAGCATTAGGGTCACAAGACTGTTGATCTTCGCTCGTAGGGGCTTAATGGACAGAGACTCTCTCTGCAAGGCGGTTGTAAGAACACCACTGGATTTGTTGTTCCTCCAATTATGTCAGCATATCTGGACAAAACTTAGAGTTTGTTTTGTGCTCTGAGCATTCGATGGGGGATGGACAAAGGAATAAGGAAAAAAAAATCAATTCAGCAAAAATGGCTTGAAGATAAGGTTTCATCTGTGCCTATGTTGATGCTCAGCACCCGTCCTCACATGCTGCGGTATAAATAATGACTCAGCCGGGGTCAGATGCCAGGCGGAGGCGTTCACCTGAACGGTATCTGACACGCATTGTATCGCGTCGCTGCTATTAATGTCCAATTTTCAATAAAATGCAGAAATAGAATACTGACTGATAAGGGTAACACACCATCCAGCTTCACACCCAGCCACATAATTACCCCAATGGGCTGTGGTGAGGGATCATATCCTCGCTCACACCAGGGGGTCAGCGGTGATAAGCGTTAGCCCAGCTCCCAACATGCCGTATAATTACTCTATTGATAATTCACCAGGAAAATGGTCCCAGCCAATTGCAAAGCTGGGATTTTAATGGACTGGATGGCGAAACGAGGGAGGGATGGCGAAACAAGCCAGTGATTGGGGACAGCGTGTGTATCGGGGGCTCATATGTGGGGCAAACAGCAAGGGCCTTTTAGAAGTGATTTAGAAATGAAAATATGTTTCGGCCGAAGGGACACCTATTTTCCCTGGAGATAATAAGGCCGATGAAATGTAAAGCAGAGGGAAGACTTGGCCTGGGGTCCAGCCACAACTGTTTATCTGTGTGTGTCCTGCATTAGCCCATTTATCCCCAGCCTCAAATGAGCTAATCCTTCTCCAAGGGGAAGGACTTGGTCAGGAAATTGACATTTAGCAGCGCAGGCTCACTCTATTAGCTACAGTAAATTTAATTTGCATCACACCCCAGAAGTGGGCTGTTTCTTCATAGGGGAAAGAGAAAGGAGGGAGACAAAAACACAGACTGAGATTGGTGTCTAATGCATCTGCGGCTTCTGGTCGCAGTCTGCTTGGCGGGAAATGTAAGACGAATGCTTGGAACACTGCAATTCTGTCCTATTTTTCCCTCATGTACTGTTGATTACAAACATGCGCAGGCATTGTCAGCACACAGAGTCATTCATTCCAAAGTCTCTTTGTGCGATTGATGAATTATCTCGCCTAGAGACTTCGAACCCCCAAAATGCCAATGTTTTTCTTTCCCTTTTCCCATTAGCTCTGATTCTCTGTGCAGCTTAATGGCTGCTCTGGTACACACTGATAAACACCCGAAATCAAATTTGCTGTGTTTAATGAATACTTTTACCTCTGGATCAGATGTTTGATTAAAATTGATGCTCACGCTTGGGGTTCTGCTCAGCTGCATCTTAGCAGTGCAATAGACAAAAGGTTCGGGGAAAGTAATTCTGTGGAAATAGGCTACATCAAATGACAGGAGCAATTCAAAGTTCAAGAAATTAATTAGTCCCTAAAAAGCTCATCGAAATCACCTGTACTTGCTGTTTTCTGTTTGGAGTTTTCTCCCAAGCTTTCCAGTTTATTTCAACTCTGGTTTGAAAAAGTAAAAGCTAATATGACTTGCATTTTTATAGTCATCAATAACTTTCAGTGGATGTAAAAAGTCTACACATCCCTGCTCAAATGCCATGTTTTTGTTGTTCAAAAAATGTCAAAACTTTTCCCAACATTAATTTGTTCTTTGCCTCGTCAATAAATCTATTTTGGGAGGGGGCGGATGTCTGGAGAAGCCTGCTAGAACATCTGAACTTTATTGGGGGTTTATCAGAGGCACTTTAAACCACGCTCATTTAACATGAATTTGATATACCAACGGAAAACTGCCAAAAAGTAGTCACGTGTCCAAAATGTAACTTAACCTTTGACTATTGCTTGTCAAATGGACATTTATTCATGCAAGGACAAAAAAACTAGTCAAGCCCATGTTGCAACGTTTTATCACCCAATAAAATAAAGCCCAACTGTAACCCCCATCTCCAACGGAGGCGACTTGAAATAGAGCCGCTCGTCCCCAGCCATTGCGATGGTCTCCCCTGCTCCTAATTGATTGCAACAGTTGTCAGACTGTTGTCTGTTTGTACGGTGACAGGTGTCTGAAGAAAATGATTAGTTTCCAGTCGGCAGAGAGACAGCTGTGAATGTCCCAAACTGCAAACTAATAAAGGAGGGGGTGAAAGCAATAAAGCTTGTGGACAGCAGGTTTGACTTTTTTTTTTTTTTAATAGACAAATCAATAAAATGATAGATGTTGGAAAATAACGTTATCTCAGCAGCTGATTTCTTCTGGGGTTTCCAATCATTGGTGGTCGCTTTTCCACAAATCCAGTAGTATGTACACCCTGACAACATCACACACAAGTGTTATGAGTACCAAACGTTTCGATATGGCTTCAGTTAGTTAATGCTTGTCATATCTGTTGCTCCCTCCATGCATCCGTGTGTGTGTGTGTGTGTGTGTGTGTGTGTGTGTGTGTGTGTGTGTGTGTGTGTGTGTGTGTGTGTGTGTGTGTGTGTGTGT